TTTAAATATAATCTACATAATCATAATTATTCCCCAAAACTTCACGAAAAAATTCAGGTTTTTAGTAAGTATTCAGAACTTAAAATTAAGTCAGTCTTGTTATAAATTAAATACCTTTTTAAAAAATTATGACATTATAAATAACTATGTCAAGAAAATTTGGATAAAGTCTTAAAAATCGTAAGGAAAAAAGGGTCTACAGTAACCACTTATTAAATCAGCAAGAACCCATATAAGCCTGGCTTTCAGAATCACAAGTCTGTAGGAAAAAAGAAATTTTAAAAACATATATTTAGAGCACGACTGCTCAAGTAACAAGATACCAATAAGGCTGTTAAAATGATAAGTAGCCGTCGGTGGCTTAGCCTGTAATCCCATCCTTTGAGAGGCTGAGGTGAGTGGATTGTCTGAGCCTGGAGGTTCAAGACCCACCTGGGCAACTTGGCGAGACCTCATCTCTACAATAAATCAAAAAATTAGCCGGGCGTGGTAGCGCATGCCTGTAATTCCAGCTACTCGGAAGGCTGAGGCGGAAGGATTGCCGGAGTTCAGCAGCTCGAGGCTGCAGTGACCGGGAGCATGCCACTACACTCCAGTCTGGGCGACAGAGTGAGACTCCAACTCAAAAAAAAAAAAAAAAGATAAGAAGTTGGTGCAGTGGCACACACCTGCAGTCCCAGCTACTCAGGAGGCTAAAATGGGAGAACTGCTTGTGCCCAGGAGTTCGAGATCAGTCTGGACAACATAGCAAGACCTTGTTTCCAAAAACAAGTTTTATAATTTAAAATATTTTTAAAATTAAAATAAATATAAACAGAAAATCCAGGGATCGAATGATTCAAGCAAGTCAAATAGAGACTCATATAGATATGTGCTTAATGAGAAGTAAAAGCTCACTTTAAAAGATACCTCCTTATGAGAGGCCCAAAAGCAAACACAGATTAGATATCCCTTTTTAAAAGTTTAGCAAGGGCTCAAACTTATTATATGTAACTTTCACTGTAATAGGAACGTCTGACGATGTACAAAGAGTTGTTTCCTTGACTGTTCAAAACAAAGAAAAGGGTTTCAAGAGTCTTTGAAGATTACAGTGGAAAACACCAAAAGGGATAAATACCTTACTACTACTCCAGTCTCTACTTTCTTCTGAAATCTTACTTTGGAAACCTGCTCAACTTTCATATTCTTAATTTGTCTTTAAATGTTCTTCAAAATAAAGCACTAACAGTTTCCTTAACAGTCATCAGCAGATGACCCGAATACTGCTCTCAGTTTCCACTGTCACTCTCTATTCTGGTTTTCTTCCTATCATTCTGTTCATTTCTTTTCAGGCTATACTTTTCTCCACTTGATATTTAAATATATATTCTCCAACACTCTGTTCTGTCTAGGCCCTCATCAATCTTTCAATTTATATACCTCCCTCAGTGACCATCTCCACACTCACAGTTTTAGTTCCACATAGTCCAGATCTGCATATAGCACATACATTTAACTATTACAGATACAGTCATCAAATCCTACACAGTGTTCTTAAGATGCAGGAGTTTCTTTGCTCCATTCCTACTATCATGACCTTAGTTCAGGTTCTAATCATTTCTCTCCCTAACACACCAATGAATGGCCTCTTTCCTAGTCTCACCACTACCAAACCGAATTCAGCTATTAATGTAAGCTTTCTAAAACTGAAATGTAACCATGTTGCTCTCCTGCCAAAAATTATTTAATAGGGCTCTAACATTTGCAGGAAAACATTCAAATTAGCTTACACAGTGCATTCCTGCCAATATCTCTAAGCTCCATCTCTACCAGTCTTTGGCTCCAGCCAAACTTCGAAGTTTGGATACAGAGTCACCAGAGTACCTCCTTCTTGACTCTCTATTTCCCAATGGTGGGGATGACAAGGAGCTAAAGGTGTAGGTGTGAATACACTCATCGAGGGAGGTATATAAATTGAAAGATTAAAGAGGGCCTGAATATAAACTGTGAGCTAACAAAAAGCATATTTCATCCAGGAAATCGTCCCTATGCTATAGGCTAATTTAGAAACCAGCTCTCAATGCTCATGTAAAATCTTCTACCTACATTTCTTCTTTATCAATCACACTCATTTACAGGTCTTCTCCATTGGATTATTAACAGTCTCCAGGGAAAGAGCACTTCATATGTCCTATACTGGGCAAACAAAAAGCTTTTCACAATTGCAGTTTGAAGGAATAAATGGGGATTAAATGGAAGTTCATGTTTTAGTAAAGTTATTCTAATGATAATAAACTTGCTCCTTTGACTAGGATAGTCAGTGGTCAAATTCTTTCCTGTCACTGAAATGGCAATAATTGTTTTTATTTTCAGACTGACCCAGTGACCCACAGCCCTGATCACCTCAACTGTCTTCATAAATGAAAAATTGACTTCGTAGTTAAATACAAATGTGTTGAAAGGCATAGATAGGGTCTGTCCTTTGTGAAGAAGGTGGGGCAAACAACATAGATAACTGTATTATTTACAAAATAATTCTCTCCATTTCCCCACCAAACTCCTTCCAGTCAATTAAGACCCTGTTCTGGGCCAGATATGGTGGCTCATTAATCCCAGCACTTTGGGAGGTCGAGGTGGAAGGATCGCTTGAAGTCAGGAGTTCAAGATCAGTATGGGGAACACAGTGAGACCCTGCCTCTAAAAAGGACCAAAAAAAAAAAAAAAAGATGTCCAGGAGAGGTGGTTCACTCCTATATCCCTAGCACTTTGGGAGGCCGAGGCAGGAAGATCAGTTGAAGCCAGGAGTTTGAAACCAGCCTAGGCAACATAGCAAAACCTTGTCTCTACAAAAAAAAAAAAAAAAAAAAAAAATTAGCCAGGCATGGTGGCAGACTCCTGTAGTCCAGTTATTCGGGAGGCTGAGGTGGAAGGATCCTCTGAGCCTAGGAGGTGGATGAGTGTGAGCCATAAGTGTGCCACTGCACTCCAGCCTGGGTGTCAGAGCAGGACCCCAACTCAAAAACAAACAAACAACACCACATTCTGTTCCATCATTACCACTCCTCCCAAATAAAACTTTCCCTCCTTCAGTCTATTCTTTAATTCATTGGTTATCCAGAACCATCTAAGCACAATAAGGTGATTTGAGAAATGTCCTGAATTAAAAAAACAATCACCTTTTCCATAGCCTTGAGGTTAAACTAAATTATAGTCCTTGACTTAAAATGTCCCACAAGGGAAGAGGACTAGGGCAACCTGCACGGAATTTTCAGAGGAACTAAAAATGACAATGACTCCTATAAGGTCAATGACCCAAAGAATAATTGAAATGATCCTGTCCATAAAAGATCTACTTTGTATACATGAAGTTAGCAGTTACTAAAATTTCCTCTCATTTTGCCTTCCCTACCTCCCTTCTTTCTATCCTCTGCTAGCATAGCACTTAAAACTTTTTTTAAAATATAGGAAAACGCCAGGTGTGGTGGCTCACACCTGTAATCTCAAAACTTTGGGAGGCTGAGGAGGGAGGATCACTTGAGCCTAGGTGTTTGAGACCGGCCTGGGCTACATAGCTAGACCCTGTCTCTACAAAAAACAAAATAATTAGCTGGGCATGGTGGTGTGCAACTGCAGTCCCAGCTACCCAAGAGGCTGAGGCAGCAGGATTGCTTGAACTCAGGAATTTGAGATTGCATTGAGCTATGATGATGCCACTGCACTCCAGTATGGGCAACAAAGCAAGACCTCGTCTCTTTTTTCTATTTATTCTGAGTCAGAGTCTAACTCTGTCACCCAGGCTGGAGTGCAATGGCACACTCACAGCCCCTGCAGCCTCGACCTGGGCTCAAGTGATCCTTCCACCTCAGCCTTCCAAGTAGCTGGAACATGACACCATAACAGGCTGATTTTCTTATTTATTGTAGAGACGAGGTCTCACCATGTTGCTCAGGATGGTCTCGAACCCCTGAGCTCAGGCAAGCCTCTTCTCGCCTTTGCCTCCCAAAGTGCTGGGATTATAGGCATGAGTCACTGCACTCTGTGACCCCATCTCTTAAAAAAGTGTGTGTGTGTGTGTGTGTGTGTGTGTGTGTGTGTGTGTGTGTGTGTGTGTGTACCCTGTATATGAGAAAGGGATCAAGTTATGATCATACTGATAGATTAAAGGCAAAAAAGGACATACTGTGCCCTAGACACCAAAAAGTGTTTTTCTTACGATCTGCATTTGTTGCACTAAGTAATAAAGGAATTTCAGACTGTCATTCATCTTCCCTAAAAAGTAAAAGAAAGTATAATTTCTATCATGAAAAGCCACATACCCTTGGCTCCCACAACCAGCATGGACTAGAATATAGGAGACAGTGCAGTTAAGCTCAGGGAACAGAATGAGAAGAGTGGATATCAAGAAAGCAACTGCACCGAGTACATCTGCGATTAAGAACCCAAAATCCAATCCATCCTTTACAACATTACAGAGCCCCCACCACTCCCCCCCAAAAAGTGAAAGGGTGACCGATCCCGCTCAGCTGTCTGCAAGCCCGCAGAACTTTCAAGTCTGAGTGTATTTTTTTAAAATAAAGATGCCCAGGCCCCACCTGCCCAAAACCCTTCTGTAGGTTTAGAATGGAGCCTGGGATTTTATGTTGACTTAAAAAGTTCCCGGGGCCTCTAGGCACCAGGCAGGTTTGTCGGAAGTGCTGCACCATCCACCCTTGCAGAAAGGACTCCTGCCAACCCTACTGACTCTGCTCTCCAGGTTCTCAGAAATACGCCAGGTCCCACGCAACCGACCGTGTCACCTAGGTCCTTTGTGTCCGCCCTAACCCCCATCCTCATCTTCATCCTCACCCCGTTTCTCGTCTTCCTTTATCTCCACCTTGCAGTAGCCGAGAAATAAGCAGAAGGGTAAAACAAAGGGAGACCATCACCTCAATACCCGGAAATCCTGTCGGTTCTAGCAGCTGGGAGAAGAAAACCCATTCTAGGCCGTTCTAACCCATTCTGGGTCTCAGAGGAAACAAAACACTCGCAGGGGTGGTCCGCGAAGCTGGTGGAAGGTAAGTTAGATCAGGACCTCTGGGGCCGCGCTGAGGTTCCGAAAGAAGAAACTTTCCGGCAGGCGGGTCCCGGGGTGGGCAGCGGCCGGGGCGACACCCCCGGCGAGCGGTGACACCCGACACCCCAGCCTTCACCGGGTTGCTAGGAGACAAAAAGGCTCCACGTTCCCTGCCATTCCCCGGGCCTGGCGGAGGCGAGCGGGC